GGGGTGGTGGGGGAAAGGCGGGCTTTTTTGCCCCCCCCCCCCCAACAGAGATGTCTGCAACCAGTCAGTATGGAAGAGAGAGGAAACACCAAGGCAGGAAGTTCACTGGTTTGGGAAGGTGTCGTCGAGCAGGCTCACCCTTCATGGTTCGAGTCAGATGCAGCAGTGGGATTGCCACCCGACTAACCTCCCCTCAAAGCAGAGCAAGGGGCTCACGCAGAGAGCAGTTCTCTGTAAATCTACAACACGGGAGAGTGGGTAGGATGTGGCACGGCAGCCTAAGCAGTGGGCACCTGTCCCAAGCCTGGGTGGGAGCACGCTGCGATTCGGCTCCGGCACGGAACCAAGACTCCCAACGGCTGCCCGTTCCTCCACTCGGCACACGAAAGGCCAAAACCTTTAGAGCAGGTGGTTCAGCACCTGCTTGGCATGCAGAAGGCTGCGGGTTCAATCCCTGGTGGCATCTCCAATTAAAGGAGCTCATGCGGCGGGTTCTTTTGTCCAAGGCCCAGACAGCCAGGGGCAGGCAGAGAGGGAGCAACAGTTGGACTCTGTGTAGGGCAGCCTCCAGTGTTCAAGAGCACACTGCGAAGACACACGGGGACTGTTAACACCCACTGAAAATGCCGACTCAGTGTGCAACTGCAACAAAATCGGCAAATGCTATGCTGGGGATTACTAGGAAGGGGGCTGAAAACAAATCAGCCAGTATCATAATGCTCCTGTATAAATCGATGGTGCCGCTTCATTTGGAATACCGTGTACAGTTCTGCTCACCACACCTCAAAAAAGAGATTATAGAATTGGAGAAAGTGCAGAAAAGGGCAACTAAAATGATTAAGGGGGTGGAACACCTTCCCTATGAAGAAAAAGAAGACGTTTAGGGCTTTTTAGCCTGGAGAAATGATGGTTGAGGGGTGACAGGACAAGAGGTTTACAAAATTAGGCATGGTATAGAAAAGGGAGCGAAAATAGTACTTTTCTCTCTTTCTCACAATTCAAGAACTGGTGGGCACTCCATGAAATGAATGAGCAATAGGCTTAGAACAGATAAAGGAAGTCCTTCACCCAAAGAGTCATTAACAAGTGGAACTCGCTGCTGCAGGAAGTGATGCCAGCTACAAGCATAGACAGCCTCAAGAGAGGATTGGATAAACATATGGAGCAGAGGTCCATCAGTGACTATAAGCCACAAGGTATAGACAGAACACTATGTCTGAGGCACTGATGGTCTATATTCTTGGTCCTTGGGGGGCAACAGTGGGAGGGCTTCTGGAGTTCTGGCCCGCCGGTGGACCTCCTGATGGCACCTGGGGTTTGGCCACCGTGTCGGACTGGATGAGCCATTGGCCTGATCCAACATCGGCTTCTCTTATGTTCTTATGTTCTCTCATGTCTGGCATTCCACATACATGGCTTTAGAAGTGTTCCCGGCTTTGGCCATTTGTGAATGTACCACTGCCTCTAAACATGACATGATGTATGGAGCAGAGATCCATAAAAGCCACAATGTATAGACAGGAACCCTCAGTCTGGGGCAAGGGATGCTCTGTATATTTGTGTGGGGGGGGGCAGTGGGAGGGCTTCTAGTGTCCTGGCTCCACTAGTGGACCTCCTGATGGCACCTGGTGTTTTTGGCCACTGTGTGACACAGAGTGTTGGACTGGATGGGCCATTGGCCTGATCCAACATTGGCCTCTCTGTTATGTTCTTAATATGGAGCAGAGGTCCATCAGTGGCAGGTGGGCTTATACAACTTTGGCTTCTCTCTTATGTCTGGGGCAGTGATGCTCCGTATTCTTGGTGCTGGGGGGGGGCAACAGCGGGAGGGCTTCTAGTGCCCTGGCCCCACTGTTGGACCTCCTGGTGGCACCGGGTATTTCTGGCCACTGTGTGACACAGAGTGTTGGACTGGATGGGCCATTGGCCTGATCCAACATCGGCTTCGCTTAAGTTCTTATGCTACCAGAACGGAGGAAGCTTTGGAATTCTGAATGTCAGACTTTGGCGTATGGAGTCAAACTCCATAATCACTTTTCAGTCCCCCTTCTGCCTACAAAACCATCTGTCTATGCTGCTCTGTTCTCCACAGCTAAACTTCTTCCTCTTAAGTGGATAGATCAAGATGGGTAGCCATGTCAGTCTGTCTTAGCAGTAGAAAAGAGTAAGAGTCCAGTAGCGCCTTAAAGACTAACAACATTTGTGGCAGGGGAGGGGCTTTCATGAGTCACGGCTCACTTCTTCAGATACAACACAAAAGCTCATACCCTACCACAAATTTTGTTAGTCTTTAAGGTGCTCCTGGACTCTTGCTCTTTTTAACTGGACAGCTCTGACTCAATTCCAGCCATGAACTAGTAACTTGAAAGGGGGGGGGGAACCCTTAAGAGCAGAGTAGTGAGCACCAGAAAAGGAAAGGTTAAAGCGCTTAGGGCTCTTTAGCTTGGAGAAACGACGACTGAGGGGTGACATGATTGAGGTTTATAAGATTATGCATGGGATAGAGCAGGTAGAGAAAGAGGTACTTTTCTCCCTTTCTCACAAGACAAGAACTCGTGGGGAACTCCATGAAATTGCTGAGCGGTCGGGTTAGAACGGAGAAGAGGAAGTACTTCTTCACCCAAAGAGTGATTAACACTTGGAATTCACTGCCACAGGAAGTGGTGGAGGCTACAAGCATGGACGGCTTCAAAAGGGAATTAGATAAGCATACGGAGCAGAGGTCCATCAGTGGCTATTAGCCACAAGGTATAGATAGGGGCTCTGGGGCAAGTGATGCTCTGTCTTCTTGGTGCTTGGGGGGGGGGGTCAACAGTGGGAGGGCTTCTGGTGTCCTGGCCCCGCTGCTGGACCTCCCGATGGCCCCTGGTACTTTTGGCCACTGTGTGACACAGTGTTGGACTGGATGGGCCTTTGGCCTGATCCAACATTGGTGTCTCTTATGTTCTTATGACAGTAGAACAAGTTCTCCTACTAGATCGAGAGCTCACAGAAGAACAGCTGCCCAGTTATCACTTGAAAATCTGAAAAACTCCTTCAATCCTGTCCAATTACTTTTAGATATTAACAAACCAACAAGCTCTGGTAGCCAGCAATGCTGGGGGGGGGGAAGGGACAGAAATAAATATATGCTTATACAGACAACAGTATTTACCTGAGCTCCTCTGGAGTAGGACCGAAAAATGGTGCAGAACCTCCCTTGGCCAGATGTATCCCTGGAACAGAAAAACACAGTGATCTCCTTATTCCGTTTGGAATATGTGAAAGATAAGGTTTCACTTGCTCACATTTGGAAGATTTTTATTTAGGGACAGCTACAGCATTAGAGAATGTCCCTGTCTGCACCATAATCCTCACGTAGGCGAGGGGTTCTTTTTAGAAGTTGTAGACGTACCCCGCTCTTCATTACCCAAAGGGAAGAGGATTGTTAAGACACTCCAAGACTCCTTTGGGTAATGAAGAGCGGGGTACAAAACCAACTTTCACTGTGCAAACAGTACTTACCTGTGACGAGTTTATACAGTGGTACGTCTACAACTTCTAAAAAGAACCCCTCGCCTACATGAGGACTATGGTGCAGACAGGGAAGTTTATGTAAAATGAATGAGAATCAACTCTGACACCCCCACCCCACCGAAATGTGCCACAAGTGACTTGCACCAATGTACGTGGGCAGGTGGGCTTATACATTTTCCAGGGCTAATGACCTTGTTAGACTTATCTGCAAAGCTGCCTTAGAGCTCAGGCCTTCAGTTGGGGGCATTGTCTCTCTTTGCGAAAACAAAGCCGGAAACTGTACAGAGAGTTCTCAGCTCAAGTCTTGGATGGTGTTCTGTAGTTTTTCAAGACGAGGTCACCTGCCTCTGGCCAGAGAGAAGGCGCTATTTGGGTCCAGCGTGCAGCGGCTATTCCGGAGGCCCACAACACCCCGTGCAATGTTTAGGATTCACTGAGGAGTACAGCTTGTTCTGTAGTAAACAAACACAGGCCGTGCGAAGGACAACAGCTGCCTCCCGGCCTCCGCGTGGGCCTCCGCGTGGGCCTCCGCGTGGGGCACGCCCTTGGATTTATTTAAATGCTGCAGCTCACCAAAGGGGCATCTGCAGACATCTGTGATGCAGAGCCGAGCCCTGTGCTGACCTAAGCGGGTGCCTACTGAAGTGCAAGCTGTGGTCAGGTTAGCCACAGCGCCTCTGGCCCTGACCCTGGAGGGGTGCCTAACAGGCAGCTGGAAGCCTCACTGCCCAGGATTAAGTTTCCCAGGCTTTCTGGGTGAGGGAGCCAGAGGAACGAGGAGTGCCTAAACATCACGCAGTCACACACACTCAAAACACAGCCCTCACTGCTGTACATCTTACAGGGTTCTGATTCCAAGAAATGCTGTCCTGAAAACAATGTCAGAACCCACAGCCAACAACGAAGTACACGCATTCAGGAATGGTAATACTTTTATTGCAGAGCTATAGATGCAGTAACACAGGCACTGTTAAGAATGGCGGCGGTCCCATGGGCATAATAGGATATAGGGTATTCGTATGCACACACACCCCCAACAGTACTGGCCAATTAGGCGCCCTCCTGCGCGCGGGCTAAGGCTTAGAGACCGTTAGGCAGCTGAAGCTGAGAACGAACACTCTCCCACGGCATCTAGGGAAATCCCAGACACTACAACACCCTCCTGCACATCTGTATAGATAAGCGTTTTGGCGCACAGCAGAGAAATCACAGAAAGGAATGCAGTAGCAATTAACCTGAAAGGAAAGCAATAGCAATTAACCAGACACAGACCAACCTCCCCAACCTTCATGGCAGCGTAGCTGACACACCTGCGTGTAGTTTGTGCAATGCCCTTCTCACGCGCACAAATGGAAAGCGCCAGCCAGGAGGCTATATCCCCTCTCCAACACAGCGGCTTTTCTGCACACTACAAGCTCGCCGCATAAGAGATGGATGGTAGAAGGAGTTATAGCCTGAGAGCACGTGACTTCCTAAGTTTCCCTGTGCAGAAGCCGTGAAGCAGGTGGCCCCAAATCACTGCATGCACACACACACACCCCCAGAACGAACAGGTCAACAGAGGGAAGGCAGGAAGGGAGGAGCTGTTGCTCAGCGCCCACAGCCCCTTCTTATACGCCCAGGGTAATGTTGATCACCACTTTGGGGTCAGGAAGGAATTTTCCTCCAGGCTAGATTGGAGGC